TTTAGAGGATAGAAATTCTACAATTTACAAAAATTTGTTTAGTAGTCTGGAATGTAAAATATGCGACAACTTCATATCTCTATTAAGCGCTTTTAAGTGAGATCCATGTGTATTTTGGAATCCATGCAATCATCAAATTGAAATGAGACATTATTTTAGTACTTTGGGCTCACTACCAAATTACAAAATTGTTGAAATTTTAAAAGAGTATAAACCCAGTGTAAACAGAGTAATCTTAAGAATTTATATCACTAAGGAACAACTCTTTCATCGTAAATTCTGAATTCTATTGAAATATGCACTCAGTTATCAGACCTGATAGCTGACAACTGTAAATTAGATTCGTTATAAGTCGATTCAGTTGGAGTATCTTTAAAAACTAGAATACTCTGTCCTACTATGTGACGCTTTAGCAACGAACATCAACAATGTCATCAGAAGTTGAACCCAGTATCATTACTTTTAGTGACGAACTCTTAAAAGTTAGGGCCATTAAGTCGAAATACAGTAAAATTACTTCAGTCTCATTATTGAGAAGCGATCATCGTGACAAATGACAAACTATAAACACATGAAGTTCAGTGAAGGGATCGCTTTTCGACAAATTTATTATCAAGCCGTACAATCGTATATATATGTCTGAGATCTTAAGTATTATTCCTGTTAGAACATATGAATAATAAATAGTATTGATGATGTAACAGAAAGGTTATAGAACTAGATAATTAAAAATGGATTAGATTGTGAATAGAGAGTAAGATAATTAAATAATAATTTAAGGTATTAGATAAGTTAAATAAAATAATGTCATATCAGGAACGTTTACGAATAAACTCCTAAGGGATTTGGGGAACAATTAAGTCGATGGATTTAATGATAATAATGATAATGAGTCATTAAATATATGTCTGAAGTCTACCAATTTCAACTTCTTACTAGAACTTCAGGAACATAATGAAGTCAATCACTGGTAAGTTGACTAAAATAGTTTAGTTAAAGAGCTTTCATGAAAGCTGATTTAAATTTCAAATTATCCAGTGCATCCTAGTTTTTACTTGTTCTCCAACTGTTATCCATTGGTGATGAATCTAGTAAACATATTAAACCAATATTCATCAAACCCTATCAATTACTTAACTGTCTAATTATTCAGTAACTCAATGACCGATAGATTCTTTTCCTATTCAATATTCCCTATGTAATTAGTGATTGTTTGTTTCTTTTATTTTAACAAACAATACAAATTTTTTTTAAAAATTTAATGCATTTTATTGTGGAATTCAGTTAAATAGCAACAACCTCTAATAACAATAAAACATAACAATACACTGAAGTTCAATAATTGTACCAACAGCAAAAAATGTAGCTTGTCCAAACAATCATATCAGAATTATCAAGATAATCCACATTAATATTAATACTTATTATATGGATGCGCACTGCTGAAGAGTCCTATACTAGAACGAAACGGTCATCCAGTGCTTCCAGGTTTTCCATAACGGTTTAGCTTCAATTGACTCATTTCAACTATTGAAATTTCTAAAAATCTCCACAAAACCCTTTCTGATACTTATTATGTTCGTTATAAAAAAAATTATTAAGACTATAGACAAAGTAAATAATTAATTATATAATAAAATATTATCACTAATTTGGTACAATTTATTGTTCATAATTAAAAAAATATATGATAATACTTATTGATACCTTCTCCATCTTAAATGTTTACAATTTATCTTATCAGTTTTGGATAATAGAAAAAAAAGGCAGATCTGATAACTAACTGATTAGTAATCCATAAGGAGTGAATAGAAGGGAAGATAGTTGATGATGGTGATGATATAATTCATTATTCCTTTATCAGAAAGATAAGTGACAATGTTAAATAATCCTAATTATTATTATTATTATTATTATTATTATTATTATTATTATTATTATTACATTACACTTAATTGATATATAAATATATAAGTGATAAACACTTAGACATGCCCAAAAATATTTTATACATACACTATAAATAAATATACAAGGTTTCATTATGAAAGTTGCATATGTACAAATGGAATGTGAGCGATGATGATAATGATGGTGGTGGTGGTGGTGGTGATGAAAGTTGTTATAAGAAAGTTTGGCGGTGAATGATTAGTGATCATTGTGTTCCACTTATATTAATAAAAAAATAAGGTCAAAGTTTGTATTTTGTAAACATTGTTATGATTATCAATGTTTTACTTGCCTTAATAATAATTAGTGGTGTAAATAACAGATGTTTCAGTGCATTTATTTATAATCCTTTGAATTAATTTACATGCTTTTTAAAGAAAAAGAACAAACACACACACATATATCCATGAGTTAAAAAAAACATTATTCACGTAGTAATCATTTACCATTGACTTTTTTTAAAATTCAAGTATGGGGAACCAGTCTTGAACCCTTAAGGGTTCATATATATATATAGAGAGAGAGAGAGAGGGAGAGGGAGAGAGGGTGAGTGATTAAAATCAGCAGTGGAGAGATTATGATTATTCGAACAGGGGTCAATCGTCTACGTATAGTTGTATGTTTATATGTATTTAAAATGTTTAACTGTTCGCTTATCAAACATTTAATCTATAGTTTAAATAATCATAGTATTAAATAATGGCAGTAGCTAATTTTCAACACTAAAGTAAATAACAATATATATGTCGGTATGAAGTAAGTAAATAATAAAAAAAATGAGAAAAGGAATTGAGTGTTAATTGTTTGTTATTTCTGTTTCTGTGTATTAATTTCAGTATTGTTTATTTTTCACTAACTTCTTCCCTGTCCCATCTCTACATTCTATCTAAACTTTTTTTCATTTTCGCATAACGTATAATAAACAGTATATGTTTGTATAAACGCTGGTGGATATGCTAAACATGTTAAGCGGTGAAAACATTCAGAAACCATTATTATCACCAGTAAGTATTTATCGACAGAATTTAAAATGAGAAAACATAATTACAATTAATAACAAAATGAATAGACAGATTAATGACTCAGTTACAAATCATAATCATATTGATGACTAAATTATTGTTAATAAGGCTTGATTCAAATGGAAAACAGGGAAGATAATGTTATTGTATTGACATGATTAGGAAATTGATTTAAACAATATGCTTTTATATGGATTGAAAACCTAATTTATGTTGAACTATCATGGAGACTTTATAGTGTCTTGTGTGTACATTTCAGTGATAATGTCAAAAGCTAAAATCTAGCTGAAATTCTATATGCTTTGGAAACTTATGATCTCACTAGATTCAAAGTTCAAGCAACTGGCCTTTACAGAATCAATGCGTTATCGTCCAGAGTATATTCATAGGAGTGTTTAAATAGCACATATATCCTATTATATAGTAGCATTAATCTATTGTGATAAAACTTATGAGAGATGCACCGCATGAAGCTAACTAATATAACTGAATTTTGAAGAGGAACTGGTTCGTACTTGCTAAATAAAATGCGGTTTTCAGATGTTAATACAGTGAGACTATAATTTATGGACGACCTTTGAGCGACGCTAAAATGACCTTGAGAGTGTCCACCTGATAACTAGGACCAAATGAGGTTTATAAATTAGTGTGAGGGATTCGAATTATGATTTACAGTTGATGGTTAATGTTAAGAATTAGATTTAGGGTTTTTATCACCAACTGACATCAGCTATAATACCAAGACTCTATTTAGCCAAATGGTTGAGTGAATTTTGTGCCAAAATGCGAGACCTGTTATCTTATACCTGATTGGTCCGTCCATAAATTAGTCTCGACAATCACTAAGCGAAAAGTTGTAAGTTCTACAACTGCTGATTGAACGGCCCAGTGGTAATATTTTTATTTGGTCCCGGCTTGAATTTAGTATGAGATACCGGTTTCTTCAAGTTTGCAAATACGACTTATTACGGTCAGTTAGTTATGATTGGCGTATCCGGGGGCATAAGTATCTTTGTTCAATTCGCCATACAGTATAGATACAATATAAAGAAATTGCCGAGATAAGAAGATATAGAAAAAGTGTAGTAGCAATGATAATAAAGAATTAACGAGTAACAGTGTGGTTCGGAAAGATGAAATGAAAAGTGTATATATGAAGAAATACGAGAACTGAAGATCTGAAGCATGACAAAGGAGGGACAAAATCGTATTGCTGTGGCCGATGATAAACCACCCCATCCAGCTTTTTTAACTGCTGATCGCTGTAATCATACAGGCGCCAACCAGATAGCATATATCTGCCAACACAGATCAGATAAAAAGTCAATAACTTCGTGGAATGATGTCATACTTTTATTTGCTCCCATATTTTTCGTACACCAGCTTACATTGTCATTGGAGGGAGTCGATGGTTAGGTATAGTTAACACATTTTCCAATAACAATAGTTAATAAAGATGTACAATCTAAAATGATTCGACACAATGGCCTTGTGTCGTATTCCTAACCTTGAAACTCCTCACTTGATCGTTATACGCTCTAAGGACACTTGTGACCGAAAATACTCATACTATCCATGTCTCCTACTTTCATAGACCAAGTTTTATAGCCATGGAGCAATGTATTGAGAATTACTAGAAATTGTCCGAAGTTCATATACAGAGATTCCTACCGATGTCTTCAAATAACAATATCGAAATTCGTCTATTGATAGTAAACATACACTATTTTAACTTGAAAACGTGGTATTATAGAATTCCCTCTCAAAGATATTAATAAATTGAACTCTATCAATAATTTAAAGGTAAAGAAAGAATTTGTTCTTTTGCAATCTTAATTTCAAAGATTGATTGTTTTGAAACTACTCCACAATCAAAATGAAAATTTCATTTGTATTCAGCCTTGATAAATCAAGATAGAAAATTTTTGAATAGCTTAATACATAAAATATCATTGATGGTTATTAATTCATTGAGAATTATGGATTCACTTCAATTGGTGCATTAAAATCGAAAATCGATACACTTACTCTTGATTAATAACTGTTGAATCAGATAGATTTTGATAGGTTTTCGCTTTGTAAATCTGAAATATGAGCAGCACAAAAGAGTAGCATTATAAAAAAATATTTTCAAATTTCATGGTACTTTATATTCACAAAAACTAACTTAAGTTAGACTACTATTGACAATGAGATAGTTGTATCTTCATAGTATGAAAATTTTCAAAAATTTATAGTGATAAGTTTGTCCATGGATCGAACAGAAGATTTTCAGTTTACAAAGTGAGTGACTTAACTTTAGCATCACTGAGAGATTCATATCAACAACTTGAATTAATTTGCATTAATGCATTAATAATTAAAACTCGACCAAAGTATGATTGTGAGTGTCTGAAATATTTTTAATATAACTTTAATTGATCTCGACATTTACGTTGGATTAAAGTTAGATATCATAAGGTTACCCAATACTTTTCTGAAAATATTAAACAAGGAAAAATATTGTTGAACAAGTCATTTATAACTCATTCAAATGTTGGCTATCATGATGGTCAACGTAAAGAAAGCCGTTGCATAAACATCCTGGGGAAATTAAGGCTAAGTTTATTGAAAAAGATACCGATGGCTCGTATTGTAAGCAAAGATGTAAGCACAATCCATGGGATATATTGGATGAGAGTCAGTATATAATTTGGAGTTGTCTATATTTACTCATTTGAGATTGTCTAGTGATTTCCACAAAATATAACACATGATTTATACATACATTCTTATTTATAGCCTGAATTAAATGTATTTATTTAAATAAACCTAGTCTCAGTTTCCTCAGGATATTTCGACAGCCGTTCTCTTCACGCTGACTATCATAATAGTCAACAAGTGAATGAGTTATAAATGACTTGTTAAAAATACTTTTTCTCATAACATCTACCCTTCTTTTGTTATTTAATTAAAATACTGAACAATCAATCCAAATAAATTAATGACAAATCAAGAATTCAAAATGCTGGATCGCGACAGTGATTTGGACTCATTCATCCTTCAGACGTTCTTTCTAAAAGAAAGAAAGTTTGGAGATTGCTCTTTGTCCATTTAAAGTTTTTCCACCTACATCAAAATACATGATATAAATATTTATTGACATGGCACTGTTCCTTATAATTACCAAGTACTGTATTTCACGTTCATATATGGTATGTCAGTGTTTAATACAAAGATATTCATACAAATGATCGGCTGAATGGGTATTTATTCGATTTTACTTGTGTTCATATGGTTCTTTACTGAACACTAATGTGAATTAAAAAAAATAACTAATAATTATGAATGAGATGTTATTAAAGTTGATTGTTTATATTTGAAATCAACTGTAGAATATATATATATATATATATGTAAATTTCGGAATAGATAACTAATCTTATTGATTATATTAACTTGACAGTAATTACTAAAGAACTCATCTGAAGTTCTTCATAAGTTGTTCAAGTTATGTGTGAACATGGTACATTTAACAAACATAAATTTATACGAACTTTCAGTTCCACAAGATGTAAATTACTGTTTAAATACCTTAATAACAGTATTATTATCATAAAATTCAAAGATAATTCATTGAGAATATTGAATTTTTTGTTGACAGTCTACAAACTTATGAAATCGATTTTGAATTAACTTTTTTTTCTCTATTCAACAAAATGTACTGGTGTTAAAACAATCTATATATATATATATATATATATATATATATATTAAATGTTATGAACCCCAAGTTTTAGACAATGGACTGAGATTTTCATGCATAAATTAATCATAAAATACTCAGTAGAGGAGTCGTAAAACCCAATGTGTCGTAAAACTTATTTATTTACTAGTTAGAGATAATAAGTCATGCTTTAAATAAGTGAAAATAAAAACATGTAAATTAATGTAATACAAATATACATAAATATGAGTACTTACATTTATCTTACTCGAATCGATTTCAAATTCAAGAGAATTATGATTGGTTAATTTTAAAATTGGTTCCGAATTTGGTCTAGTCGGCCAATCATTAGTAAGAGATTTGATTGAAATAACTGTTCTATTTAATTCATTACATGGTCTATAATTAATAATAATAATAATGAGGTAACACTATAAACATGTTTAAGTATTTAGTTAGTTAATTAATAGTTTAAAGTAGTTTATATTACTTAGTAACTTGTTTGTATTTTTTGGTTTGTTTGTTTGTTTTTGAATGTCAAATTGTATTTTTGATTTAAATATTCAAATAAATTTCAGATTAACAACTTTCACTAACTAGTAATAGAAAAGTGTGAAAATGTAATGAGTCTATTCAATGTTAAGTAAATAGTGTCTGATCATTTGTGTATATTTTCTGTTTTAATCTATATGCACTTCATTAAAATTGAATCTATTTTCATTGGAAAACATTTCTGTTCTCATTTAAATAGTTGACATTGATATGGAGTTATTTAGAAACCATAGTTGAATATTTCACAGTAGTTTTTTAAATATTAGTTAATTCAACCCACATATCAAAATGAAGCGGTGTTTAATGTGACCTTTATTTTGATTAATTCATAAGTAATGGTTTGTATTTACTTAACCCTTCACCTTTAACCTCTGAATCTTGAATTTCTATTATTATTATTGTCAATATTTTGAATACTTGTTTCAGATAAGCATCTATAGGTACACGATGAATAAATTCATTGAAGTGTTTAGAAGAAAATGGCTCATTTTAAATACTTTTATGTGGATCTATATACTAATTGAATTTAGTCTTAGATACTCCTATCCAATATCAATGTATAATGAATGAGATTCAAGATTGATGAGTTTGCAATACTGATAAGTTTTATAAGTAGTCGTAAATTTATTCCAAATTCGAATACTAATATTTTCTTTAAAATAAAAGTTATTATAAGAAACTTTTATGAAAGTGATAAGTTCTTGGTTTGATCAGGCGAATAATTGACTGCATCCAACATTGAAATTTTAACAAAATCTTAAAATATTCAATTGATTATTTAGAGATGAGTAGTAATTATCACGTCAGAGAATAATTATTTCACCTTCGACTAATTGGTATAGATTAAGGGGATTTATTTGGAGTAATATTTTCAATTCAGTTGATGCTTTTCAATCTGAGTATACACAAAGATCTTAGGTCAGAACATTTGATCAAATCATCTTATGTATATTTAATAAGACGGAAATATGAAGAGTAGTTTCATGACACATTAATATTACTGAGTATGAAACAAATTTTTTGTTCTACTTCGATTTTCCTCATTTATGGTCTCACATAGGGTTATCTTATATTATTAATTACCAGAAGTAAAACGTACGAATCGTTTAGAAACAGATTCAGTCGCTTATTGTTATCTTGCTTGTTTTATTTATTTACATTCGATACAATGTTAAGCTGTTACAACCAATCAGTTATGTGGCTATGGCTTTAGATTTTCTTCTATCAAAATGGATCTGCAAACTTGACAGTATTGATGCTTTTAGTTAGACTCGAACCCAATTTCACACTTAGAGACATTAACACTGATTGCATCATAATACCTTGGTCATGTGAGATCCTAATTCGATTAACACTAGGGACCAGAAATACATGAACTGATTAGTACTCATTGATCAATCGTTACTTTCCTAAAAAAAATTTGATTTAACCCCTATTTACATTTATTTCATCAACTATATCATAAACAAACTATGTTTATTTATTTATTTGATAACTTTCATTTATCTTTGCATCTACCCTTCTGTTCAAGTAAATTGTCGTTTTAATTAACCAGTTGATTAATCATGATATCTTTCAAACGATACAAGGATAATTATCTTCATTAGAATGAACTGTCACAATAAACATAATCTTTCTAGATAATTATCACTCGATTAGATCATATTTATAATGTAAATGAACTATTAGTATTTATTTATCTACATAGTAGGTTGATGGATGTTTTAAATCATCTAATTACCAGCTAATTTTCTTTTAAGCAAATGGCTCAGAGGTTTGTCACTAAAACGTCTTGACGTTCATGTATCAAGCTTTTAATTGACTTATAGCTGTTCTTCAATAAATAAATTATGAAATGACCCGCCAAAACTGGATGATTTTTAAAAAAAAATCTGTACAACCAAATGTACATATACATAATGAGCATCGGATATTTGATCGATCCCAATTACATAATTCCATCAAAATCAAGATTAATTAACTGATGTATATTTGAACTCAAAGTAAAATGAATAGCAACAAATAATTATTCTTTTATCAGAAGAGAGTTTTGTGGAGATTTTAGTCATTTAATGGTCGAATTCATGAGTCAATCGAGGCTAGACCACCATGGGAAACCTGAAAGCACTGAACGGCCGTTTCGTTCCACTGTGGGACTCCTCAGCGGTGCACATCCACGTTCCCGCTCTACGAGGTTCGAACCCAGAACCTGTAGGTTTCGCGCGCGGATGCTTAACTTCTAGACCATTGGGCCGGCATCCAACGGTGTTGATGTATAACTTCAACCAATTCACGAAATTGCGCCACCGTCGTCTTCAGAGAGTTACTATCCGTGGTTCGAATTGCGTGGGGAAGGATCATGGATGAAGTCCTATACTGAGACGAAACGGCCGTCCATTGCTTCCAGGTTTCCATGGCGGTCCAGCCTCAGTTGACTGATGTATTCAACTATTAAATTCCTCATTTTCTAATGAATCATTTCTTCATATTATTTTATAGATTAGATTAATTTTATGACTTTTCCTAATGATATGGTTATGTAATTAGAGGAGCACATAAATGACCTTAAGGATGGGGCAAAATATATTATTTTCCTTTTTGTATCACTGTGTTTACATGTGGTATTAAACTTCTCCGAAATATGCACACACGAAAATGGAATTGGATCAAACCTAACATTATTAGGTACGAAACTAAGTTATTCACTCTTCTCCGATTTTAGATATTTCTCCAACTGATATAAGTCTGCACTGTAAACTAACTTCAGATTCTTATGAAATAGTGAAAACAATAATGGAAGCTCTGTTGATAAGTTTCTGATGGTACAAATACATATTTCGTTAATGGATGTTATATATGATATGTATATTTTGTGATTGAATATTTAATGATTGGATATAGTAGATACGCAATCCTGAACCTAAATTTCATGCTTGTCAACACTCACCAGCAATACTGTGCTTACACCATTGAGAAAACTGATATTTCCCATACGATTCAAAACAGTATTACCTAGTTTCATAATCTAAGTTACTGTTTAATTACTGATCACTTAAAAATTATTAATCTAGTTTTGAATTCAGATTACATTGTTAACTTTATTTAGACAATACAACTTGAGCTTGATTAACTCCATTAAAACACACACATCAAGCCAATTATATCTTTGGTTGAACATTTATTTTTCTATCCTCATTTATAATTCATTTAATTTGCATTAAGAAATCTGTTGAAGAAGTATTAGTAGGCGGAATTAATTTTTTAATGATTGATATAGTTGATTAGTCAAAATCAATTTAATTTTTTGTTTATATATAGTTATTAACACCTAATATGTTCAGTGATGATTATAATTAAGTTCAGTAGTATCATTCACTATAAATAAACACTTTCTTTACTTGGTATATTTATTATTGGATAATTTTCCAAATGAAAAATCCAATTTACGCATCGATGGTGTTACCATGTTGTTTAATAATAATAGTTAAATTAAACAAATTAAAAAGAAAACACATATATCACACAGTTGCTATGATAATTAATTTTGACTACATTCTTGTAGACATGGTAGATGAAATTGAAGTGAATACTAAATATACGCACAATAAATTCGTAGTAATAAATGACGAATCATCTTAAGGTTTAAATAACACTTTCATCACGGAGGAACATTAAAAAACGTAAATCATTGAATAGTAATTTTGTCTTGCTTTTGGACATCTCTTCAGTACATACTCACAACATCTAGAGAGATCGAAATCAAGATTTTCGGTTTTTATGATTGACAAAACAATATTAGACCAATGAGCACGAATGGAGTGGCATGGATTCTCAGCTTTTTACACTTTGTAATAATAGTCCAATAGCATTCATGATACATGTACTACTCTGGTTATAGTTAAACTATAATAGTGGCAATTTCACATAAGTTTCAGGAATCTGTCTTAAATATAGCATTAGTGATTAGTGGGGTTGAAATCAATCTCCAGAGAAAACTGTTTATTTAGTAGATTCATAAATAATAAACGTAGACAAAGTAAAAAAAAGCTTTATGTTTATGAAAATAAGTACTTAATAAAAAAATCTTACTGTAATTTATACTTCGTAGCATTTGTTAAATCTTCTGTAAAGTTTTGATCAACTGCTGAGCTATTAATTTGACTATGACACCGTATAGCTAAGTAGATATTATTAAAAATGAAAAAAAGTCATGTTTAGTCTTGTATTTTAAGAAAGGAAGATTAAGTTATTAAAAGAAAAATTAATAGATAGTTCAAATTTTCCCACAGTCTCGTGTCCAATCTTATTTTTGATGAAGTTGGTCATTTATTTTTAAATCTGTGTGTGTGTTTATTTCACATTGTGGTAGAAATCATAAAGAGAATTAATTTTGACGTTTTACAACGTTTATTTAGAAATTATTACTAATACCTATTTCTTTGATGAAAGTAGTCATACATGTTCCCGTTAGTTATGGTAATCATGTATGGAAATATTATTCTTGGTAATAACATGAACTATTTCTTAGTTGATAATCAGGACTGTTTTTAAATCCGTGTTGGCCTAGGTATATTTTGATAGGTTGATTCATTAGTGCTTTTTTGTGTGGATTTAAACGCTGGAATTGAGGTTTATTCATTTGCCAAGTCCCAAATAAGACCAAACGTCAGTCCTGGATTTCACTTTTAGTCAAAACTCAAATATTCTTTTAAAAAATGTATATAGAAATATCCTCAATAATTCGTGAATCAAAACAGCATCGACGAACATAAAATCCATGATTTATTACTCCTCTAGTTTACAGTAAGATGTTCAGAATTAAAATGTGTAGCTCACTCGTCTCACGTAATTCTATAATACACTCCAATTATAGGTAAGTTTGTATATATATCTTGTATCATCACATGGTTACTTAATAAGTAACAAGTAGTAAAGCTAAGTATTCGCAAATAATCAGCATCTCGAGATGGAGAAGATTTGTAGCTCAGGTGGATGATTTTGGTGGAGTTTTGTTCTCTGAGCTGGATGGTTTGGTCGTGGAGCTTTCATCGTTCTTCTGAACGACATCATCAAAAATCAAAACAATGGGAGACACAACCAAAACAAAGAAGTAAACAACGACAAATCTAAGGTCAATAAGAACCAATCAACGTCGAGGTGCACAGAACAAGCTTTGAGACACATATGGAGAAATTCAAACACTTCACTTCTATCTGAAGTTTGTGCTGATGATGTCGTTCAGAAGAACGATGAAAGCTCCACGACCAAACCATCCAGCTCAGAGAACAAAACTCCACCAAAATCAGCATCTCAAATACCCATGTATATTATCAGTTAATTGCAATACATTTTACAAAAGGTAACTTACCTTCAGTCTCAGTTGCTTGCTCACCACTTCCTCCGGTGGGTGAGAATGGGATATTGATTTCACCAATGTTGTTAGAACCAGTGGCAGAAAATGTAGGTAGATGGTTGTCTTCAGAAATGTTTGTCTACATTTTAAAAACGAAATCATTTAAAATCCAGTAAATAAATTTATTTTCATACGCACTTGAGTACTATTAAAAATGAAACATACTTGTCGCTGACTGAGTTTTCTATGGTATAGACTGACTCATCAAATGATAGTTGATGTTAAGCATTCATTTCAGCGCACACATGCATATATACCATTATGCTTACAAGAAGTACGATTTTTCTCCATAATTTTGTCAATGAAACGTTTATTAAATTGTTCGTCGTTTTCGGTATTTACCTAATTGAACAAAGTTTTCTTTGGAAAAGAAACCACATTGAGACAGGATAAATGTATGTATCTATACTTTGAAATTGCTCGAAAATTAGTTATTAATCGCATTACTCCAACGACTGATCCGAAGATATTATACTCATTGAATATTGAGACTGTAATTCCTAAGTTTACTCTCTCATGTATTGCCAAACAAAGTTGAGATACCTAGTTTTCATGTCATGGTTTTTCAGTTAATTAAATTTTGTGGTGAAGATGGTCGTAAAATTAAATTTACCTAGATAAATTAATCCTATCGTATTTCCTCAACCAAATGTAGCAACATTAAATGACCATCTATACAAAAATACTGTAATGTATGTCAAATTTAGATAATTCAGCATCTATGAAATAATATATCCTACAATATTATCAAGTTATAGCCTAACAGATATCTCTAATCTTAAGAAAATAAGACATGGTGTATTCATTGTGAGATGAAAGCATATTAATTAAATGACAAATGAATATATTATCAGAGGGGGTTTTGTGGAGATTTTTAGAAATTTCACTGGTTGAAATCATGAGTTCGAATTTCGCGGGGTGCGAGATCGTGGATGCGCACTGCTGAGGAGTCCCGTACTAGGAAAAACGAGTTTTCTATGGTGGTCTAGTTTCAAATAACTCATGGTTTCAACCAATGAAATGAATATATGTTTGTATATTTAACTCATCCATTTCTCCCTCAGATATCAATGTAAAAAATGTCCACAATGAAAATTTTTATTGTATGAGAAACATATAGTAAAAATGGTATAAAATTTACCTGATATACACTGAAATAAATCGTATCGAAAGGCACCTCACATAGTTAATCGTATTTTACTTATTTCTTACCTTAATTTACACTACTGTTAATTATTTACATAATAAACTTATCAGCTTGGATATGACATATAGTTCCAAGATGATAAAAAATTTCTCCTAGAAAATGTTTGAAGTAGGTTTTTATTTTGACTATGAAAACTCTCTTTTCAATAATAAAATAAGTTGTAAAATGTATCAATCACAGATTGATCTACGAATCAGTGAATAACCTACAAATGGAAATAATCACCATAGAATCTTCTCAGCTATAAGTTAATAAATCGGTGAAATTAGGTATCATTGAGTTAATTGTCACTAAATGTTTTTTTTCTTAATTAACCAAATCGTTTCACTGAATTGAATTGGTTAACATTTTTTTGTTAGAGTCAAAACTCTACTTTCAATTTATGAGATGTTTCCATAGGTGATGTTTTATTTCTGTTTTAAATATGATTCAACTTAATTCACAATAATTACATATTACGTCATCATGATTGATAACCATCATAGTAGAGTCACTTTATATATGTGGGAAAAATTGTTTTAGAAATTTTATAAAGAATTTCATCCTACCTTTTCTTTTTATTATTCTGTTTCTCTATCTGTTCTTATCTAATCTTTAGATAAATATTTTTTTATGAATCTTAAGACAATATCTAGACCCCATCTTCAAATATCTCCATCACTGATAAATATTGAGTAATTACTAGTGGAGATAACTTAATTGCTTCACATAAAACTTAACAATATAGTTTTACTTTTTGTATAGATCTATCAAATTTAGAAAATTGAAAAGCTAATTGTAAATATTCGAACTCAAGTAATGTGAAAAAAAACAAACAATATCTCAGTCAACTTCACTATTCATTAATCTCTTACACTTATTATTGAAATAAAAAAGAAGCCGAAAAAGAAGAAGAAAAAAAGAAGAGAATAGTTCATTGATAATTGCTATTAATAAAAATTCATTGAACCTTAAAGTGAAATAAATTAGATTAATTTTGTATAATAAATATACATCTAAGTAATAATAATGCTTGAATGTACTGGGAACAACAACAACAACGACAAAGCAAAGAAAAAGAAAACGTGGAATGAAACAATTAATGAATTAACATTTATTAAATTAATAATGACTCACAGTTGGAATTTGATGAAATGATGAAATAAGTTTTCTATCTGAATGACCAATATATTCAGATAATAATTTAAATTTCTTATTATTTATTTGTTCATTATTATTAACTATAATTGAAAAGAAAGAAAAAATAATTCAACAATAATAAAATGATTAAGAAAATCTTAATAAAAGTTTAATGATCAATGATACTACTTACTGATTACTTAATTATACAGAGAATAATTTGATATTAGAAGTATGATACATTTGATTATAACATAATGATCTAAAGTTTGTGTACTGTATGTGTAATCTAAAGATTCATCTCCGATCTGTATTTGGATATTATTAAGGAGTTCGGTACCGGAAAGAGATAGCAGTTCAAAGTTCGCTGGTTTTTTTAGTGGTATTTTAATTAGTGACAAAAATTGGCTTTAATAAGGAAAACTTTTAGGCTAAATAAGACGAAAAGTTTTATAGTTCATGGAAATTTTATTGTTCACATTGAACCACTTCAATCATGTGAAGATTTTTATACAGTTAAAAGGTTATATCTATTATGACCTGATTTTAGCTCCTCCATGTTTCGATGATAAGTTGGATTTTGTGAATGAGAATGTGTTTCATTAAAGATGACATCGTGTGTTTGATTAACCATAAAAACTAGATTGCCTGTTAATTAACACTAAAATATAATAGCAGGGATCTTTTTGTTAATTGTATTCTACTTTGAATTACTTAATGCATTACATTCATAGAGTGGATCATTTCATTTTATGCCTTAGGATGTGACAGTTTCTCCCACTCCTAGAGATATTTTTATTACTCAATACTTTTGAATATGTGATTCCCATAAAATCGATAGATTTGAAGAGAACAACTACTGAAATACTTAAGTTAGTAACATTTAGCACTAGTTATGTCAGAAAATATTCATTGTACGCCTAACATATTTCTTTATTTGATCAACTATAAAAATACCAAGGTGGTAGTCTAATTTGATCTTGAGTTTGTGTCGATCATTTGTGCAAAAAATATAAAGAATTATATTTGTTAATCTTTGTTCAGATCTGATAGAGTTTGACAGACAAAAACATATGACTGGGTTGTGTTTGCTAAGTAGTCATTTGATAGCCGTAATGTAAACTACTAAGATTCTGACAATTTTCATCTCGTTTTCTTCATGAATGTTTTGAATTCAAGGTTTGAAGATTTAGAAGTTGTTAGGTTATTTTTGCTAACTTTTTAATATGAAGCTGTAAATAAATGTTTGTACGCGATAAAGTTTATTCAAGGCAAAACATATTATTATGACTTGACATTGAACAATAAATGTTATGATAATTAAATAAGCGGCAATTTAAACATCATAATGACAACTTCCAGTAGGTCAATACTATATTGATATGGTAGAACAAGGGTTAAACCTGGTAGTTGTGGATTAATTCTGTTAGACTGTAAATATCATATAATTCCCATGTCTTCCAATCACTTATCCCTTAAATGACTTCTGACCATCTTCATTCTTATGACAAATGTTCTATACATAAGTGTGCTATTATGTCAGATGAAAAAAACCTATTTCTACAGGGTAGCTGTCTTAGTTTCTATCATCTGCTGGCAGTCATCACCCAACCATTTATTATTGAGAATCCTTTTCTCTTCTAACAATCGAAAATATATTCGCAAAATTAGGAAATATTCTGTACTACATTAGGTCATTTAGTTTTGTTATTTACTCATGAATATAATTCAATCAACAATGATAAGTGTAAACAAAATAAATGATACTTAACTAGTGAATGATCAGTGAATAAGTAGTAACAACATACAACAAACTCTAAGTATGAGCCTATCAGACAATAAAAAAGTTTACAGAAAGAGGCGACAATGACTGAAAATCAAAAATCACTAAATGACAGTTTTTTATATTACTTAACACTATTTAGCAGTGTATACTGATGATCATGCACGACTTCGAACCCGCCACATTTATGTTTCTTGATGAACTACGTACTACTTAGCTAATCATTTCAGTTAATCTGTGATATAACACAACTCATTCATTTTTGTATGTCATATATAACATTTCACTTATACCGGTTGAAATCATGAGTCAATTGAAGCTAGACCACCATGGAAAACCCGGAAGCACTGGACGTCTTAGTATAGGACTCCTTAGCAGTGCGCATCCACGATCCCGCACCCCGCGAGATTCGAACCCAGGACCTATCAGTCTCGCGCCAGGCGCTTAAAAAACTAGAACACTGAGCTGACATCCAACGCTGTTAATATCTAACTTCAATCAATCCACGAAGTTGCGCCACCGTACACCATTGTCTTCAGTGAGTTCCTATCTCACAACTGGCCTGGTTGAACTCCACTTATACATTTATCTAGAAACAAGTCATTGGTAAGTAAAAAGCTGAAACTGATTTCGGTATTTATAGAAAAACCTGTTTATTTTAAAACACAAACTAACAAATGAAATAGTAATAAGAAAATAACCATCAAATCAATCATATCTTAACAAATAAGGTTAATTAAATATCATTATTAATCAGTTAAGAATTATGTATACATTTATATATATACATACATACAGATGCAGACACAGAAATGTCTGTATAGAAAGTCAAAAGAAAAGAAATGAAAATATTTCAATATAAACAAATTGTTATCCTCTATTATTTTTGCATTCACCTTCCATCTTTGTGTTTTTTTATTATTTTGGATTCTTTCATTCATTTTCTTACACATTTTTAGAGTTATTGGTGTTGCAATAGATAAGAAGAAGAAGAAGAAGAGGAAGAAGAGGGTAATGTGTAAACAAATTACTTATAACATATTTTATGATAAATTAAGATTAAAATTCATATTAGAAGCAATGTATAATATAACCGATAACTAATCAAACGAATGAAAGTGGACATATTTTTGTAGTAGTTAGTGTTATTGTCTTCTTTAATGTGCAGTTTTCTATTAGCTATGATTATTTATTAGTATAAAAATAGATTAAGTGAACTATGTCAATTTTGCCCTGTCAGTGTGTCTGCCCTTAGTAGTTTTCGCATTTTTTTTGGTTTTTAGTCCTTTTTGTTATTCTATAGCTGTAATTCCTTCCCTTTCTCTTTCTTTATCTCTCTCTCTTTGACTTACTAGATATATGCAGTTAATTTTTCAAGCCTCCCAGTAAATAATATAAAATTTTTAATTATCTCTTCTCTGTCTGTCTTGAATTATATCAATGTAATTTTTAAGTGTGCTTTGTATAAATTCTGGTTTGTATTAATGTAAACAACATGGATTTAGTACACTTCATCTTTATCGTCTCTTTCTCTGTCTTTCTATATATCCATAATGTGAACTATTCTAGCTACTATAATTAATACATACAATATTGTATTTATAAAGAATTAGTGATAAGAAATATTTATTTTAAAAAATGATGGTGACGTAGTAGAGATCTGATTACCACCTTCGCTAAGAATTGTTCAATTCATTTGAGGATAAAAGTCATAGAAACCGATATGAATATCACATATTATGAAAAACCCTATATTTATACATTTAACGTTATCTAGATTCTTAGATTAGTGAAATAAAGAAATTTCTTTCCACGTAATTATTTTTTCATCAATGTTCATTAATTGAATTATGGAAATGAGCTAGTCAATTTTCACTGTGTACAAATAAATATATATGCATGTACTTACATAAATATAGGCATAGATACATTATACTGATTATATTACATACATATATAATGATTGTAACTGAAAGTAATATCGAGACAATCCGCACAGGATGCACATATGCCAATAACAGATTGATCAATTGTACCCCCTAAACATTAATGTAAAAATGAATCGAATTTCACCTCACTGCACAAGCAAGTGGCTGTGAGGACTCAGTAGCTAAGTGGATAAGGCGATGGTGTTTAAAGAAAACGACATTGGGTTTGAGTGCCGTAGTGAACATTAACTCTGGGATGCACTTACATCCATCTGAAGGGTCACAAACGAGCGTCCTGGATTCCATTGCTAGCCACCATAATCTCGACTGATTATTTCATAAGTTATTAAGAATGAAAAAAAGAATGAAACTAGTAACCATATTTAACCAGTTTATTTATAAAAAGAATTAGAAATAATAGATTATAACTGTACATATCCCTTACTATTCATGTACAAGTCTACTAATTTCATGAATGCTACACAACAATTATAAATGACATTCTGGTATAAATATACATACTTTAGGACAATAAACCTACATAACCGAGAGCGTAGTTGATAAACTATAAATATGAAGTTGTTTATTCAACTCGTAAATTTATTTCAGCTTATGGTATCTTATTTGGGTTTAGTATATTCAACAACATTGTCGACGGTTCAAACTTTTTATTACTTAAATCATTTAATGATATCGTATACAAATTAACTTGAGCTTTTTATTGACCAAAGTCTCTTTAAAATATTTATTCTACTTACATTAAATATATCTATCAAATTTTATTTCTTGCCCCAATCATCAAACAGATTTAACAAAACAAAAGCTTCGTAATACATAACTATCTTTAAAATAATGGCTAGTAGTTATATATTCTCACAGTTGAATCAACGAGTCGATCTAAGCTGGAACACTATTAAATACCTAGAAGCGCTGAACTAGCTAAAGTCAACTCTTGGATTCAATCGTGAAAATACCATTTCCACAAATCCCCATACTGATAATAATTATTTATTTTCTCTGTAATCGGTGGCTTATGCCCTATGGGAGATAGCAGAGTTGAGTAAGCCAAGTTTAACCTCAAACATTAGGATACACTTCATGAAATGGCTTGATCTATATACACGTACTGTTCCAGTACAACATTGAAATTGCTTCTTACTCTTTATTTCCAAATATTAAAAGTGGAACTAATAAATCATTCATCTAAGAAATGCATATCCAACAGTTTTCTATCCTTAAACCATAAAAACATCGTGAATAATTATAAATATTTTATATATGATAGAATAAAGGTGCAAATCTATTTCAAAAAAGAAATTCGTGATTGATAGTTTAATATTTGAAATGTACACTTTTCAATGTTTCAATTATTAATGATGATTTTGATAAT